ATATCTATGAGATAGAAGAAAGTGAGTATACATTCAAGCATATAACAACAAAATATACACATAACACGTATCTCGTATAAAATACTTCATAATTATACGTTAGGAGAAAGTAACAACACACTCACACATATAAACAACAATATACTTAATACACTCAAACCATACTTGTATTATTATTGCGTTTATGAAAGGTAGTATACACTCACTTGATCAGAAGATGATCGGACAACACTACGACTTGCAAAAGTAGTAATCCTCAGCAGATCTGGAAGATCTCTACAAAAATCGAACTTCTCGCAGGCAGAGCTTCGGCTCGGAAACCGCACTTCTCGGGATCTTCGGGATCTCGGGACTTGCTTCGGGACTCGGGAATATTACCGGGGCTTCGGGGTACTTCTGGCACGCAAATCGAGGCAAAACGGGAGAGAGAATGGAGAAAAATAGCAAAGAAGCCGGCTGCCCTTGCATCCTATTTATAGGAGGCTAAGGCCTCGCCGTACTGGGGGCGTACAGCAGTACGCGGGGCGTACTCTCCGAGTTCGTCATGGTGTTCGTCATCCGAAGTCCTTGAGTGCGAGTGTCGACACTCTTTTCTGTACGCGGGGCGTACTCAAGTACGTGGGGCATACTCCGGATGAGCCCGGTGACTCCCCTTCGGATAAAGCCGGAATTAAAGATTAAATTTAAATACAAATTATTTAATAAAATTCGGAAATTGATATCTTCTTCATACGAACTCCTTTTTCGACGTTCTTTATATCCACGCGAAGGTGAGACTACGCTCTACAACTTTCGTTTAGACTCCGTCGGCTAATTTTGACTTTATTTTTATTATTTATTTTTAGTAGGTTGGGATAGGAAAACTCCGTTATAAAATCATAACTTCTTCATCCGACGTCCGTTTTCGCCTATCTTTTTATCGTTTTACTACAATTAATGAGATATTCAATTCTCATTTAGATTGTTTCGGCTAAAAACCGCTCGGTCTCAAATCGAGCATTCAGGCTGCATACCGCTAAGTCGAAACATCGAAAAAAATCATAACTTGCTCATATGAAGTCAGATTTGGGCGTTCTTTTTATGCACGCTCATGGTTTAAGGTATTCTACGACTTTCATTTGGATTGCTAAGGCTAAATATCGCTCTAACATAAATTCACTTTTTATGTCGCGCTGTGTCGTGCCGGTTTTGTCGCGAAACTTCGACAGGTCATAACTTCTTCGTTATAACTCGGATTTCGGCGTTCTTTATATGCACGGAAACCTTGTAACATATACTATAACTTAATTAAGATTATTCCTTCAAAATAATCTTCCATCAAAAAGTCATTTTTTACGCTTAACGTCTCTAATTGACTAGCCCGGATCTACGGGCGTTACAATACTTTTGGACCAAGACTTAGGCCCAAACCTAATAATCCACAAGGCCCAAATACCAAAACCACCCAAGGCCCAATGCATGGCCTAATTTTCCAAATTGGGCCAAAATCCATAGTGGGCCTCCATAAAAAATATCAACCCAAAACCTGATGGCCCAACAGGGCCCAAAACAATAAAGTCCAATAAATGGCCAAAACCAAAGCCCAAATACCAAAATCCCACTATGCTGAGTACACGAGGCATACTCAGTTTTTACGCTAAGCGTACTGGCTTAAGAGCTTGTATGATGTGCGTACAGGCTTGTATGCCCAACGTACTCCTCCTATTTGACCAACTCTCAATTCTAGCTCTTGATCATTAAGCCAAGACGTCCAAAACCTCAGAATAGCTAAATATAAGTGGTTTGATCCATAAAGTCGAAGGCTTTAAGCCTTTGCATGGATTAATGAAGCCCTACACCAAAGATGAACTTCGAAGGTCAAATCACTCCAAAATTTCTTAAACCTTCTTAATACCTTATGACCATCCAAACTTCTAGATCTGATTCAAAGGGACTTCTTAAGTCATAAGTTCCTGAATTTACATGACTTAATGGGACCCAAATCAAAACCTTAAATCCTAAGCTTCACCAAAAGATTACCAAATCATGCATGGAAAGTTTTTACTCATGAAGATCCAAACTTTATGATTCCACTAACCCAAAAAGGGCCAAATATGAAGCTCAAAGGTTCTGGAGTACCTTCTACTCACAAGAACCACCACAAAGGGACCAAAATCATAACAAAGTGCCACCTAGCTAGATCTACAATAAAAAGTTGTCAAGATTGAGACTTTATACCTCTAGAAGTTATATCTAGGTGAACAAAGCCTGGATCCAAAAGCTCCAAGTCAAGCAATGACTCTTTAAGAAGTTCCTTCTTCATACTTAAGCACCAAAAACACACATAAATCACTTTGAAGCTCCAGAATCACTCAAATGGGGGCTAAGGGTTGATTTGGGCATAAAGTGAATACTGTTCGAATTTGGGCTCAAGGAATAGATTTTGAATTAGGTAATATAATGAACAATAATATATCTCTTGGTTTTCGAAGTATGAACAATGAATAATATATATATTTTTTAGAATTTGATTTAGATCTTAAAAAAAATTATTGGATCATCAACGGGATTGAAACGGAATAGATACAACGAATAAAAACGATCAAAAATAAAAAACGAAACCCCCGATTAAATTTTTTTGATTAAATTCTAATTTTGAGAAAAACCTTGATCGTTCTTCATCGAATCATTAGAAACCAAGAATGTTTTGGAATCCATTTGATAATGTGAGAAATCTTATTGTCGATTCTTTTTCCGTTTGCAACACACGAATCAATCACTGATGATCTTGGTTATTTTGTTGGAATAAGAAAATCACCAAATTGAGCATTGTACCTCCCACGATGTGTGTTGTACAACCCGTTCTTCGTGTTCTTCAACGATATAGCATTATCTTCATAAGAACTATCAACAATTTTGTTTTTTGAATTCAAGTTCATTGCAACATTTGATGATTATTTCTTTGGAATCCAAATTTGTTTCATAGATTTCAACTTCACAACAACATTCAAAGATTTTTGTGAATAAACCCATTTGTTCTTGCTTTTGATCTTTTTCTTCTTTTTCTTTCTCATATTTTTGGATCTTGAAGATTTAAATTCAATAAAAAACTTCATTTTTGACAACTTCAACTTTGCAAGTTTGAATCAAATCTTTTGGAGTTTAATATTTGTTAATTTATTGGATTGATGGCTTTCGATAAGGAATCATTCATTGAAACAAATCACAAGAACACAAAATGTCATTGGTTTGAACTCCAATCGAACAAAAAACTTTTTCATCTGCAAGAAAATCAACTTGAATCTTCTTATCTTGAACTTCAAGAACATCATGAACATCACATTGAATTCCATAGTCTTGAACTTCAACAAACTTAAGAGCATGAAGATCACTTTAGTTTTCATTAAGAGAACAATATTCATTCTTGAATAATTCTCTTTGTTTTCCTTCCTCTTGATTTTCACACCAAGATAACATGTTCATAGTGATTTCAAGCAAACATCCAATCTTCGAAAGTGGTTGAAATATCAATCTTCCATGATCATCTTTCAGTCCTACATTAGAAACCAAAGTATCCCATTAAATCAACCCACCTTTCAACAATTATCCATAGAATTGATTTTCATTGACTTTGTATTTGACATCTTCAATGATTACAATCCAATAATCATTACGTAAGTACACCATCTTTGATCAATTGATAAGAACTTTGGATTTTTCTAGAGAGAGAAAGTAATTTTGAATATGTTTCTAGTTTGAGAAAGCAAAAATACTTGAATTATAGTGAAGAAATAAAATTATGAATCAAGTCAAAGAAAAATTCAATTTCTAGAATCCAAAACTCTCTAAACACGAAGATCAAATAGCAATGAAGAATCACCAAATCAAAAATGTCATCATGGATCAATTCTTGAGAAAATCAAGAACACCCGCTCTGATACCGATTGTAGTGATCATGATTATGATGACGAATGTGGAATATGAAATGATTTAGTCAATCATGCAAGAATGATGAACATGAAGAACACAAGGATGTAAATAATCTCATTTTAAGCTCTCATTAGTCTAGAAAGTATTACAAAGTGGGTCATGCAATATTTCTCTCACTAGAATAATCTCTCACAATTTCTTACATAAAATGAGTGTTATTCACTTCCTATTTATAGGAAGGACAACTCATTATACACAAACAAAATGATAAGCTATTGGAAGCATCCAAGCATGAATTTGTACCCTAACATTAAAAAGTAAACTAAGTAAAAAAGAGGATCTACTCACATATCTCTTCTATTTTTGTATCAATATAGAACCAAGATAATTTCATTTAATGCAAAAAAATGATAAAAGGTTTTACTATTTTCAAAAATTTTGTAAAACCTTTTGTAAATTCAATTAAAAGGTTTGTTAAAAAGATTTTTGGACAGAATCTAAATTGGGTACAACTTTTCTATGTTTGAAAAGACTTATTTTAAATACAAAAAATCTGTGAAAGTTTAATCTACAAAGTTTAAAAAGTTTTTGAAAGTATATGTCGTCGTTCACCACCACTACCACCCTATACGCGTAGCTCTCCACCACAACCCTACTCTGTCTTCTCCATTATCCACCGTTTTTAGTGGAAACCATAGCCCCTGACAACTCCCAACGCCATATAAGCATTCGCTAACCATCACTATAAATCTATATGAAATAAATGGCCATCATCAACCCTTGTTTGGTTTTCATCGTTAGCAAGGATCGGTTGATTTTAAATATTTTGTGCTCTAAGTCAAAATATGTGATGATGGCTTTTTGTTTTGTGGGAATAAAGATTCTATGTTATAAATATTTTTTTTACTTTTCTTTTACATGTGATGATGCTTATTCATTAACGAAAGTCATCATTTAGTAAATCAATTTCTATTCCATACATTGTTTTCTGAACGTCGTGCACACAAAACACTAAAAATGATAAATAATAGTATTTTTCTTTTGTGTGACTAAAACATAATATGCAAAATCTCTATTGACAATGAAGGAACATGGTTGTGTTTCCCGAGGAAGGTACAATTTGTAGTTAAAAATAAAACATAAATATCAGTATATCACATTGTCTAAAAATAACATTTTAAATTACTGTAAATTATTAATTATGGCATGAATAATTGACAAGGTTTTACTTGCATATCGGTATATGCTTGAAAAAAAATACTTCTATTTATTTGGTCTTAAAAATAACACGATAAACTATCTTTGGATTTCACACATTCATATAATAACTAAAATACCAACAAATACACTATAACCCGCCACAAACTTTATAAATGCACATTATAAAGGATTTTGGATGTTATATTGTGAAGATATATGTGGTGGCAGATATGCATATTATAACGTTAAAAATAAATTCACAGGCTCACACGATAAAAACTAAATACCAACAAATAAACTATAACCCACCACAAGCTTTATAAATGCACATTATAAAGTATTTTAGATGTTATATTGTGAAGATGCATGAAATGGTGGCAGATATGCATATTGTAACGTTCAAATTAAATTCAGAAGCTCACATGTAACTAAAAGTATCTCCTCTCGATCCTCAATTATGTGGATATATATACAAAAAAGTCTGCGATTTGTTGGTTCTTAAAGTTTGCATCAATTCCGTGAATTTCAAGTATATCATACAGAGCATCACATCACAAATATATATTATATGTTGATTAACGCTATTTGTGGATAAAAGAGCGAAATAAATTATGGTCCTCAAATACTTGATAATTGACCACTAAATTATCTAAACCAATTTAGCATGTTCTTATATTTTTAGCAAAAACTCCATTTTTTCGTTTTGCGTTGTCCATTCATTCTCAAGTTTTTCAACCCTCTATCTTCAATCCAGACACAAACCTATCCAAATTCAAAGACCTTTGCAACGATAACGTGATTATTATCAGGTAATTTGTTTATTACAATAAAAGAATTTTATGGGTTGATCACTTTCAATGCTTTACAACATATTCGTTTTGATGAATTACATATTCAAAGCATGACATATTTTATCGCATAATGAAAGTATTGTTTATGATGATATGGTAAATCAGGATCATTGATCAAATGGAAGGGAAACAAGAGCGACCAAAGCTTGATCCTCCAAAACAAGCTTTGGAAAATATTAGTAAGCAAATGTCTGGAAATTTTGCTGCACAATCGCCACGATATGGTAGCACTTGTACTAAACTGCTCCATTTGGGCGTGCAAGATGGTGATGGCATGAGAAGAATTCCTTCTGAAGGAAAGATGAATTGCCTTTGCTCCCCCACTACCCATGCCGGATCTTTTCGGTGTCGCCTCCATAGAACTAGTAGCAATACTAACAATAATTCTAGTTCCGGCGGTAGATCATTTAATAGTTTGTCCAATCTCGCAGGTGACCATGATTAAATTATGACCGCATCCTTGAAGATGGATTTTCATATGATTTGAATTGTAACATATGATACTGGATGGTTCTTTCAACATTTTGTAAATGATTATTATCTAACTTCCAAATTGTTTTTATTTATATTGATAATGATAAGGTATAGATGGAACTTATTGTTGTATTTATTTTATGTAATTATTGTTTATTTGTTTAAAGCTAATGTACATCTATATATATTGTTAATAAGATTTCTTTCATATGTGTGGTTATTTTTCTAAAACCATACATGGTATCAGTCTAACACAATCTATCTCTGTATTATGATTTAATGATATTATAATGACGACTTACACTCCTTGAAATTTTAATTAACCATTACTATAACCATATGTTTCTCAGCCAATGCAAGTATGCTACAAAGATTCTTGAAAGAGCTAATATGGTGAAATGCAAACCTTTAAGCACACCGACTAAATTTTTCGCTAAATTTGATGGTTTCAAATAATTAAATGATGACCCTACTCTTCATCACAACCTTTCAAGGGTACTTCAGTACCTCACATTTACCAAAACTAACATTATGTATGTCACACAACAAATTTGCCTATTCATACACAATCCTTAGGATCTATACTTCGCAACTTTTAAACAAATTCTATGGTACATCTGAGGCACCAATGATTCTGACGGACAAATTCTATGGTACATCTAAGGCACCACTGATTCTGACTACCATCTGTTTTCCTCTCCATCTTGCGGTATCATTGCCTATTCAAATGCAAACTAGGTTGGCTATTTAACCATTAGGCATTCCACATTCGGTTACTACATATTTCTGGGCTATAATCTTGAGATATCCCAGAAACACCAATAAAGTTTTCATTTTTTTAAATCATTAAATCCATACAAACACTTGTTCCAAAACCAATCAGGATAAAATGTATCTTACCAACTGATGGGTATTATGCAAAACATATAATCCTATATGTGTATGCAACCCTAAATGTTTTAATCTATATTTTCTCTAATTGAACATACAATTTGAACAACAAAATAGAAAACCCTAGCATACTAGTATATAATCTAAATACACAATTAGGGTTAGAAGATTCATATACCTTGATTGTTATATAGTAATAACAATGCAAATCCTTGTGTTGATGAAGCCTTGAGAGCAAGCATCACAAGTATCACGCCTCTAGTGGTTCACACCCAAAACTAGCAATGGAAGTTGATTGAGAAGGAGGATAGAGGCTTACATTTTTGGCTAGCACTTCAAAAGAACAGATGGCCAAAAATTCAAGGGCTTTGGCTGCTTATATAGTGCAGTGAGGAAATCCTAGATAAACCCTAATCCAAGATAATCTTAAACCGGGTAATTATCCACTTTCATGTTTATCCAACAAATACTATTCTAGAATCCCTTAGGCATGAAGAAACCGTCTATGCCTTCATGGAGGGTTCTAGATTGCCTCTTGCTCAACTATTGAACAATTGCACTTCAGTCCCTGCACTTTTAATTAATTCTTTTAATACCAAAATTAATTTTGTTTAATTTCTGATTAAATATTACTATTTCTAATTAATATATTATTTTCATAATATATTAAAAAATCATTTACTTCAATTTATTAATCAAACAATAAATCAACATCTCTCTATCCAAAATCATCTTGTCTAGTTGCTAGTCTTGAGGGCAACCTAAAAAGAATGTGCTACTATCAATTTAAGTATATACCAATTATAGTGATAGGCTTAGACACCTAATCCAATAGTCTCCCACTTGGATAAGTCTAATAACTATAATTTCCAATATATTCTTCAATACTAATTAACAAATTGTAACTCTCAAAAGCTGCTGACGAACTCTGACCCAGTCAGTTATATGTTCTAAGATAAGTGATCATATAATTCTCCGTTCTGCCAGATATCATGTAGACATGAGACATGGAATAGAATCAATCTCATCGTACAATACTTTGTTTCCCAATTTTTGATTTGTAATGACAAAGAAATTAATCGAACACATCAATTTAGTCCTGGATGGGCCGAACACTATAAGTCAACACCAAATCATCGAGGGGCCCAAAGATATCACTTTTTCCCACTAAGGGTAAAAGGAACATATAAACTTTGACTTATATGCTTGTACTATTTACTCATCAAATGATGCACAACAATAAATTTTATAACACCAAGTTACTGATGAGTTTACGTATCATCAATGCACAACCAACTTGCAAACACCAACACATATATCTCCCTTTAAAGATTATAAGATGTTATCGTCTTATAATTGCTCGTGATAAATTCCATGAAGTAATTCTATGAGCGTGGGTTAATCCGATACTCAAATTCTCTATTTCAAAGTACTCATGAATATTGCAGCAATACCTTTGCTATGTCTAAAACCCTTTACAATCTACAATTCAATTCATGACACTTCACTACTTACTTCCAAACGTACGAATGACTATGGAGTTTGAATAATCCAATTATTCTGGAAGTAAAACATGCAAAATGAAACAAAATTAAACAATAGACAAAAGGTAGTAATCCAATTCATAAGTAAATCTCCATTACTTAATCACCAAAAGTCAATTACATTTATTTCGTTACAAGTTTCGAAACTAACTATCTAACTACTAAAACTAACATCATCCTTAAGACCAATGCTCCTAACATGCTGAACATGCTTGACCCTACTCATACCCTTTGTGAGGGGATCTGCATGATTCTCTTCTGATAATACCCTCTTCACTACAAGGGGTCCTTCTTCTACTCTATGTCTAATAAAATGGTATTTTTTGTCAATATATCTTGATCCGCCATGATCTCTATGTTCCTTTGTCAAGGCAACCTCTCCTTCATAATCACATAAAATCTAGCTCCTTGAAGGCTAGAACAACTCCAAGGTCTCCAATGAAGTTCTTCAACATAATAGCCTCCTTTGATGCTTTGCTTTCTGCTATGTACTCTGATTCATAAGTAGAATCAGTTACCGTCTCTTGTTTGGAACTTTTCCAGGTTACCACTCCTCCATTAAGGTAAACACACAGCCAGATTGAGAATGAAAGTTGTCTCTGTCTGTTTAAAAGCTGGTGTCACTATACCCGGTTACTGTTAAGCTATCACTGCCACCAAGCACAAGGACCCAATCCTTAGTTCTTTGCAGATACTTAAGAATATTTTTAACTGCTATCCAGTGAGCTATACTTATATTTCCCTGATAACGACTTACCATGCTCAAAGAAAAAGCCACATTAGGGCCAGTACATGTCATATCATACATGATAGATCCTGCAGAAGATACATATGGAACTCTACTCATTTATGTTATCTCTGCATCGGCACTCGGACTCTGAGTCTTACTTAGTTTGGTATTACTCTGTTTAGGCATTTCTCCTTTCTTGGAATTCTCCTTACTAAAATGTTTTAATACCTTTTCCAAGTGCGTACTTTGACTAAGTCCTATTAGCCTTTTAATTATGTCTCTCAAAATCCTTATATACCCGGAATATAAGCATCCTCTCCCAGATCCTTCATAGTGAAACACTTTCCAAGACAAGACTTAACTTCTTGTAAAGTTGGAATGTTGTTTCCTATAAGAAGTATGTCCTCAACATACAAAACCAGGAAAGGTTACTATACTCCTACTAGCTTTGACATATACACATGATTCATCTTCACTTCTAGAGAAATCAAACTCTTTGACCTTCTCGTAAAAAAAAAGATTCCATCTGTGAGAATCTTGTTTCAATATATAGATTGATTTCTCAAGCATACATAATCTTTTCGGATACTTTGCATCCACAAAACCCTCTGGTTGATCAATCTTAAAAGAATCACATATACTAGTGAATTAGGGCATCGAATGAAATGTCGGTCTGGGTTCTTCCTGGTCATTCAAGTCCAGATCTTTGGTTGTTCACCACATTTACACAAAATGTTTTTGTAGTTTGGGGTTAAAGAAGAAGAAGAAGATCCATATGATTTTCGCCCATTTTTCTGCAAAGACGAAGTTAAAAGAAGAAGAGGAAAAAGAACAAGATCATAGTTTTGAAGAAGCATAATAAGATGTGATGCACTTTTTAACCTAATTTTCTTTGTCTTCATGTCACCCAATATACAACCATGTAATGTATTTAGATGCCACGACATTTATGCCACCGGTTCATTAAGCTTAACCGGTTACAAATCATCAAAACAATAATTGTCACAAATAATAATGGTTAAATTGTACCAATTGATAATATAAGGCTTTTTTAAGCGTTGGAGTATAATATGTAGGGTTTTTGTGTGGTTTTCACTTTATTCATTATATAATGTTTCAAGTGATCAACTAACCACTTGAATTAGATAATATCAGTCATGCCATATATTGAACATCCATACTATGCCTCTCGATGGTCCTTCCTTTGTTAAAAGATCGATTAGATGTTACTCCAACGATGCTCAATTCATGATTCCAAATTCTTATCATGATCTAAGATGTAGTGGAATTTTGTCTTTACATGCATTGTCTTTCTTTGATGTCAAAGTTCTTAAGTCATAGGGACCTAGCCTTCGACATTATAGAATGTTCCACTGCAACTTGTTATTTATAACAATTCCATGGTTATGAAATCTCAAATTCAAGGTACACTCCTTGAGCACTTCTTTGCATTAAAGTTTCCAACTCACATGTAGATTTCGAAAACATCTCCCATTATGGAAACATTTATAGATTACCATATGAACATAAATTTTGACCGAGAATTATCTCAATCCAAAACGTGTCACTATAATCCTTTCCAAACAATATGATACTTTCATCTTTCCACAAGCAACCAATTCTTCTGTAAACCTTATAACGTTCTTGGCAGTTGTTTGACAACTTTACTCACATGAAATTCTAATCCTTTTCACAAACAATGCTAAAAGTATTTGAAAAATAGAATAATCGAATATTATAGCATATGTAATCGATCTTATATCCGAAGCATATGCGATTCGACTAACTATTACAAGGGTCCTATATTTGATCGATTCCTTGCAATAGTATTTCCATATATAGAATACCTAATGTCGAAACATTTCAATATGGTATGCCTTTGACTAAATTCTATTAGATTATTCAATCTAAACCTCTAGATTCAAAATGAAGTATGAGTGCCCTCTCCCGTATGCCCACTATAACGTAACGGTTCCCAACTTTTGCAACTTGCAAATTAGAGACATTGTTCCCTATCAATAGTATTGTCAACACGCAATACCAGGCATAAAAATTATGCTCCCACTAGCTTTGACATGTACT